TAATTTTATGCTTTGTTGTAGTCCATGTATGTTGATATACTTATTCCATGATAATTCTATGTTTATCCTTTTGTGTGATGTAAATTAAATGCTGAATGGCGGTTCATGCAGGGAACGAACATATCAATATTCGCATATTCATTCAAAAACATGAAAATTCTTAATGGAGTACCCTCATTTTTTATTGAATTCCTAAAAAACAATATTTATAATGAATTTTAATAATTTTTTCGGATTTTTTTGAAGCTTTATTCTGACTGATTCACCCGATTCCGATCCGGATCGCTGATTCGCCGATTCGGAACGCCGATTTGCCGATCCGGATCGTTTTTTGGAAAGCCCGATCCGGGTCACCGATCCGGTTTTTAAACCATTGGGTGTCATACTTAAATTCTTCTAAATGTATTTATTTCAAATTCTATTTCTTCTTATCTTTACACTCATCTATCTCAACATCTTCGTAAACAACATAAAACACAAAAATTAATGTATTTGAGAAATTTAAAAGTCTAAATTACAAAAAATGATATTTGAGAAATTTGAAAGTCCAATTTATGAACAACTTAAAATTTCAAAAAAAAAAGAATACAAAAATTTGGAAAAAAAAAAAACATGAAATCGGTCCAAAAGTCCAACTTTGTGTTTTTCTTACAAGATTGTATATAACGAGACCATTTACCTTTTGATATACGTTGGTCACAATTACTTACAACCATACAATGAAAAATTTAATAGCTTGGATGTGTCACGAAGTTCAAAAAAATTTCTTTTGGAGTTTGAGCTTGTCTAACGATAGGATTGCAATCACCCAATTTCACATCCAATAGTCAAGATTAATATAATCACCTTGTACCAAAGGTAAATAGTCACATTCCATACTTTCCCTTTTCTTATTGATTGATTGGCAAAGATGTAAGTAGAACTAAATTGACAAGAAAGAACGTGTGAATCCAATGTATCGGCACACCCTTAATGAGTTGGGTCCTGTATATAGGGCCCCTGAGAGTATAGAAGTTTAGGAGTTGGGTTCTTCATATTGAGCCTAGGGAGGGGGAGAGAGAGCACCATGGACCAAAGGTTGCTTAATGCTTGCGAAACTCGAGACTATGGTGCCTTCAGGGGACTAGTTGAGCAGAATGAACGGATACTAGACATGCAAGTAGCAGTGACTTTTGAGACACCACTTCATCTGGTGTCCCGATACGGGTATACAGACAGCAAAGGATATTGTTAGGTTAAGACCACTCATGGCTTTTGCAGTGAACCACCAAGAGCTTTGCCCAATGCACATGGCTGTTGAAAATAATGAATGCGGAATTGTGATGGAGCTTCTTAGTAATGAAACCCAAAACTCGTGTTTCCAAAGAGATCGAGAGGGGCGGAACCCCGTACATTACATGGCCATGAGGGGGTACGAGGACATGTTGTTTGCAGTCCTCCGGACATGCCCTGAGTCGGCAAAGATCCTCACCGACAGAGGCGAGAACATTCTTCATGTATGTCTCAAGTATAGCCATGAAGAAATGATGATGAAATTGATCACAGAATTTGATTTTGTGCGGAAACTCATTCAGCAGAGGGATTATGATGGCAAGAGTGTTTTCGAGCTTGCAGATTCTAGTTTGGGACCTGAGGTAGTAAGTGCCGTCTACGTCTTTAGTAAACCTATATTGAATAGTTAGAAATGTTTAAAGCAAGTTACCATAACTCCCCCTTGTCGGATAGGATTCGGGCGAGTTATTCGGACTCGCCTATAAACTCAAACGAGTTACTTTGCCTTATGGACAAAAGCCGAGTAAGGTGCGCACCATAAATAATGTCATGGTCAATTTAACTCGAATAACAGTTCATGGGCCCATGCTTGGGTTCAAACTCCCTCAAACATCACCATACCACCTTATCCTTTTAAATCCATATCTTGTTTTTTTATATTTTATTTTAATGGGCTCACAACATCCAATCGAGAGGCCGTATGGAAGTTCTTGTAAATGAAAAGTGTAAGTGTGCATATAAACATATGTTTTTATTTTTCTATTTATTTATTTTTAAAGTGAGCTTGACTCGGTCCATAAGCTTTTTTTTTTTTTTTTTTAATACGACCAGTGAGTTACTCGAACATGCCTGTTTACTCTCTCTGCCAATAAGCTAATACCTTGTCCGAGTCACTGTACCTTAGTTTCAAGAATCAAATATAAGATTGGCAATTACAAGTCCATTAGTGGCTTGAACGGGTGAAGGTGCTTCTTTTAAGAGCACGTAGATTATGCTTCTGCACGAGCAATATTGTGCATTTACTCCGTCACTTAAAACACCTATTTAGAAAGATTTTATAGTATACAATTTTGGGAACTTCATAAAAATAACTAGATGCTTATTTTCAAAAGAAAAAAATCCGAATTTTTTATTTTGTGACACTTAGATCTAGTCCTTTCAAAAATTGGATTACCTCAATTCAATCTTGATTCATCAGTTTTTTCTAATAGAGAGCTTATTTTTGGTTTTTTTTTTTTTCTAGCTGAGATTAGGATATAGGTTGTTGAGATTACTTCAAAAAATTTTAGATTCTAACATGTGTTTTGCCCAAGGGACTAAATGGATTGTGTACATAGGAGTAAGAAATCTTGTAGGTTCTCTTAAATGGGGCAATTTTTTTTATTGGAATTTTGAATCATTAAATTTTTTAAAAAATAGGGCAATTTTAGTTGTACAATAACTTAAACGACCTTTACCCTAATTTCGCCATTTCTGTTAACCCCCGACGGCCATTTTCACCTATTCTCATTTGTTTCTCATAGTTTTTCCTTAAAAACACAAAACCCCCCAATTCAATCGTTTTTTGGCTACTCTACAAAATCAGTAGTGTAAGTTCGTTTGTAGTGAGGCCACAATCCAATGAAATCAAAACTTCGAGGTTTTGTTCCGTTTTTCCCAATTTTGAGGTCTGTTTCTTTGGATTTTAGGTTTTAATCCAAAAAGTAGACTTTCTACACCCACCCATGACCTAGCTCGAGCAGTTCCATTTTTAAAATATTTTAGCCAAATCGTTGCCAACCGTCCATTCAAACTACAATCCATCCCCACCGTTGGTATACTAGCCTCCTCATTAGTGAGACTGCCTATCAAATCCTTTTCATATATATATATATATATTAGGTCTTAGTCCAAGGACACGGTGGTTTGGAGCTTGAATCGCTCATTTATTCCTTGATTTTAGGTTTTCAAATAATTTTTACATTTTCTTTCTCGTTTTCCTGGTAATTCGCATGCGAATTAGCGATCCTATTCTGTTTCCTAGGTACCGAGTTGGACCACTATTTTGATTTTTAAGTCACTTGCAAGAAAACATTTTAAGATTCTGTCGGGCACTCCGCACCAGTTCATAATTGCCTTACTTTTCTTTGTTGAAAATAAAATTATTTCCCTTTGATATTGCTACAAAAAAAAAAAAGATTTATGCATAAGACAAAGTGTTTGTTGAATCGGTCAACTCACCTGCTGAAAGAACGAGGCTTTTGAAAAGCTAACTCGTAATCTATTTTAAAAAAATTGGTAGTGCAGGTCTTCCTCATTGAATTATCAAAAAAATAAAAAAAAAGTCTTTATAAATAACTGTAACCTCCTATTATTAGTAATTGTGATATCTTTGTATCAAAAATAAAACGGTCTCATTATACACAATTAAGACAAATAATTCACTACTCATCTCTTAACAAAACAAAAAAATACTTATCTCTTAACAAAAAAAACAGAGGTTACCAGGCATAAAAATGTGCAGATGTTGAAGGAATTGCGAGGAGTGGCGGAGAAGGAAAAAGGAGGGTCTGGATGGGATGGTGGGAAGGAGCTGAAGGATGCTCTCAAGTCTACCAAGGACGGCATAGCAGTGGTTGCAGCATTGGTAGCTGCCGCCACCTTCGCCGTAGGCCTCAACCCTCCTGGAGGGGCCTACCATGACGGCCCGAAATTTATCGCCTTCGAAGTACTCAATATTTTGGCTCTCTGTATTTCCATCAACGTTTTGATCAATGCCATCGGTTTCATACCCCATATAAAAGCAGACACAAAACAAATTTCCTTAATGAGCAAAGAACTCGGCTTTTCGATTTGCTTCATGTTGTCGGCCTTCTTCTTGGGGCAAGATCTTCTGCATCTCACCATTAAGGACACATTGTTACCAGTTCGCTGGACTTTGTTCTCGATCATGGCTTTCGTGATACTTCTGCTGTGGACACCGGATACAATGTTGCCGCAAACTGTATTGAAAAATAAAGATAATTCATCTTCTTTGTCTCCGGCTATGGTGGCTCTCTGCATGTGTGCGGTCTGCTGCTTCATGATGTGTGGAAAATCGGGTACGGGAGGGGCATCTAAGAAGCCCAACCAGCAAGAAGAGGCAGCAACAAGGTCGGGTCAATCCAAACAGGGTCAGGATTCAGGTCCAGCACTGGGGTCAACCCAGGTCGGTTTTGGGTCAGGGTCCGACTTGAACCCTAAAGTGTCGGATGAGGTCTAGGATGGAGTCGACCAGTTCGGCCCGATCCAACCTGATATAAATTATATATAGTTCTATAATATAGGAAATAATTTTTTAGTTTTTTAAGCTCAAATAGTTTGACTTATGCGTAATGTGCCTGTTTCCCTGGTCAATGTACAAGTGTACGAGTAAGTGAAATGCCTCCTGTGGCCACTTATCCCTTGTGTTCATGAGGACTGAGTATTACTTTTTCTAGATCTTTATGTTTTGTACTTTTCCATCCATTGATCCGGTTTCAGTTACTAAGTTGATCATTCTTATTTACTTTTATGTTCTTATGGTATTTTCACTCAGAAAAAGCTTTTTAGTATATTTTATTTGAAAATCATGACCGACATTTTGGTGTTTTACTATTTTTTCTTAGGAGCTACACCCTTTAAGGACAAAGGATTTTTTCACTCTGAAATCTTGGGAACCATTTAAGAATTGCCATATGATTATTCTTCCAAAAAATTGAAATTCTATATTTCCAACACTTACATCCTACCATCTAAAAACTGGATCGTCTCCATTTAATCTCAAGAGTTGTTTTTTTTGTTTTTGAAGTGGATAAAGGGTACAATTAAGAGTTTCTTTTTTTTATTATTATTACTAATATTATTATTATTGAGGTTAGTCTATTGGTTGAATAGATTACATCCCAAAATTTAGGGTCTTAATAATTCTAGGTGGGATTTTATCCGATGAAGTGATCCAAAAGCATTCTACTCTTATGGAGTAGAACATCTTTTGGTTTTTATGATTAGGATGTATACATCTTCTTCTTTTCCTTTTTCCTTTTTTTTTTTTTTTTTTGAATTAGTGGAGAGAGGGCCTCTACTCTGGTAGGAATTAAGCCTAGGACATAGTGTTGCAAAATCGTCAAGCACTAAAAAAATTAAGCCCGGGCTCTTTTCCTGATTAACGTGTCTTCTTAAGGTTGGTTGCCATGCAATTTGACCAAGGACAAACAAATCGAGCAAAACGGCAGGACAAAAACATAGACAAACAAGAAGAACCTTCCCAAATACTCCATACAAATGGTTCATGTTCATCTCCATAGAGCAGATCCAATTGAGAGATATTCGGGCTCCACTTGGTTCTTCTCCATAGATTAGAAAGAATTATTTATTTTTCTAATACAGCCATCAAAATAGAAATTGAAGATAGAGGTTTGCTAATGACTTAATCCTTGTAGGTTTAATAGATGGGGTTTGGGCATATCCGGATTCTATAGTTTGGATGGAGATTCATGAAACTCAATTCTCACTAATTCTTCTCTGAAGGGAAAAGAGAAAGGAAAGAGGTGCATGAGGGCATGCATATATCTCCTCCTCCCCCTTCCACCCCTTTATCAAGCTGCCTAGTGCATTTTGTAAGGCGGATTGACATGAAAAGCTCTTGAAGCTATCTTAGTTTTTGCTTGAGCCATTGTTCCTGTCTACAAGGAAGAGAATAGATATGAAAGAGGTTCAACACCGCACGAGCTTCGTGATGCAATGGCTTTTTACCTTTTTTTATTCTTGCATAACGCTGTTTCCAGTTATCTGTTCCAAATTTCCACTGGGCTTGGTGATATAATGGCTTTTTGCTTTTTTATGTGATTATTAGAACGTTTTGGGTCTATTTTGCTTTCTTAGGGCATCTACCACTTTTTCAGTTCTATAGAACTAAGGCGCATAGATGGAAATTTTAAAGTATGATAAGATGAAAAGCCTGGATTTATATAGACTAGGGTTTGTTAAGGGATAATGTATGATTTTAAGTGTTGCTTCGATAAATATGTTAGTGTAAACTTTCATATGATGCCATTATAACTTTTCCACATAAGGTTTTAGATGATATTACTTCACAAACAATATAGGATAGCTGTGAGAGCAGCTTTGCTTTATGAGCAGAATGTTGGGTGACTAAGAAACAATATATCCATAGGATGATTGTAGTTGAGATGATGATGTTGAGATGGATGAGTGGCAAGACAATAAAATATATGATTCAAAAAATAAATACATTCGGGAGAACTTAAGTATGGCTTTAATAGGCAATAAGATGAAAGAAATAGACTTAAAGTGCGCTAGCCATGTGATAAGTAAAAAGCTCAGAAAAAAAAAAAAGTAGACTCAAAAGAACATCGTTGGATGTAGTGGGAAAAGAAATGACAACTTCCGGCCTCAATAAGGGTTTGACACTTGATAGAGTAGAATGGCCGACTAGAATTCATAGAGATGACTCAAAATAGTTGGAAAAGGGTTATGATGATGATGATCATGATAGATTTAAAGAAAATTTTACTCTTTCTTTTAATCTTTGGCTCAGTGGTAGACATGTCAGTTTGGGTGTGGGAGGTCAAGGTTCTAATCATTGAAGTTTATCCCAAAAAACCAACCTTATTTTCCCTTTTTTGTAGGAATGAACGCAACCTTAAGTGGTTAAAGAGACAAGTAGTTGCAACATGATGTCTTGAGTTTCATTTCTATTACAGGTAGGAGGACATCTTTCCCGTTGAATTACTCCCTAAAAATTAAAAGAAAATTTGTACAAAATTTTTATTTTATTTTTGGAATTAAAAATAATTTCATATATTCCGTATTTTTCATTCGAATCCCATTTTTTGAAGCATATAATTTGTTTTAATTTAATATTATTTGTATAAATAAAATTAAACTCAAATTAGATATGTTCATACTTGTAAGTTGTAACCATTACAAAGCCAAAAAATAACTAAAATTACTAAAATACCGCTAAATAATGTAGGGGCATTTTTGTTAGTTATTAGTTTTTATTATTTTTTAGATATTTTTATATGTGTGATGGTTAAATTAGAACAAATGCAATTTGAGTTCAACAAGACGTATTAGAAACCTTGAATAGTCATTCATGAATAAGAATTTCAGTGGAAATCACAAATTCGCAGCCAAAGTTTGGGAGTTCCTTCTAGAGTTTAATTCGGAAGGTGCAAATTTTCGGCTGAAACCTTCAATTTTCCCGACTATGTAACAGTGGTACCATTTTGGGGCAAGAAGGTGACTCCTCATTTGGTTTTTAATCCATATTTTTAACAATAACACCATATAAAAATGGTATTAGCATGCATAACACAATAGCAGCAATATAATAATACATTGTCTTAAATAAATTAAGAGTCCTGATGTGATTGGCAGCTAACACAAATTGGGTGAGAGAGAAAGGGAGTGCTCATCACAAGGGACTCTTTGGCCCCTTATGCATGGATAGTTGTCTCCTTATCAATGTTATCAGGTTCGCTTCGTTTTGGTTAAAGCCCCAAACTAGGGAAGTACATTTAATCTCATACATTCAACTTAGAAACAATATTTAAAGAAAATCACTAATTTATTCAAAATTTCAAAGTTCCCTAGTATTTTCAGAAATATGGAAAATACAGCTTAAATCTACTGACGAACTTTTAAACGATGCCTACGTAAACATTTAATAAAAAGATGCCTCCTTTAATGTACTTTTATTGTTTGCAATTTTGTTATCCTCTTTTCAGAAAACAACAGCACTGAATGCTACCCCAATATTCGGATGTAAAATCAATTCCTAACAAAAGTAAAGAGCTCTTCAATGACAATCTAATACGATAGGCCTTGAAATTTATCTTCTACAATAGTTTCTGAAATACTCTGCTTTTGTGTGAATAGTTTCTCAAACATTCATTTGTTGGGTGAATAAATTACAAAATATTTATTTTATTAGTGAAGATTCACTAAAGAAAGAAACCAAACTAAGGGTCCATGTATTTTAGTATTTAACTGTGCTACGGTATTTTATAAGATCCATATCTTTTTATTGTTGAATGCAATTCTTTGATCTAAAAACTCTTTATTATTTGTTCAAGTCATGAAATTTTTATTTACTGTTAATGGAATCAATTTGAGCCCACTGAACGCGAATGGGTTAACAACATTGGATGTACTAGAGAACGATTTGAGAGATCTATGTGACATAGAATAAAGGCAAACTCTCACTGCTGCAGGAGCAAAAAGAAGTCAGGAATCATCCATCAACAAATGAAGTTTTGTCGAAAGACGGCGTATCAATGGGAGTTGTGCAGTTACCACCAAGCACTTCGCGATCGAGACAGACCAGCTGCATAACAAGAGCAAAACAGTTGGAGAAGACACATTGAGAAGCATGACCAGCAGCTAAGCAAGAGCACGAGCACTATCATGGTAGTAGCAGAAAATAATCTATTTATGATTTTTTGATGGATCCCAAATTCTTAGATCTAACAGATCTTTTCAAATACACACTTTACCTGAGGGAACGAATGAATAGATTGCTCCCACATGAACATTGTACGTGAACTCTTTGGTATATGCTCTATCTTGAAAAAAGACTATCTAACTTTTGAACTGACAGATCTAGATGTTTAAAAACCTGAAATTTTAGCATTCTTCTTGAAGATATGATGATTGAAAAATGGGTTCCAAAACAAAAGATCGGGGCGCATAAGTAATAAGTGTGAGGTGGTCCCGCAGCTATAAGCACCAACGATTGAAAGCATCGCACTTGATGATTTGCCAATCCATTATGGCGATGTGCGGGAATGAGGTGCGTCGCATATCCCACACGCATGCCAATAGAGGAAGTGCACAACAATCTCAAGATTCTCTCATTTTATCTTTTTGCTTGCTCTCGCGGGAGCAACCGACTGGGGATGTATTTTCTTTGGGCTAAGATATTTTTCCTTCAGTGTGTACAACATGCTCCAGGGGAAACATACAGTATAACAGCACCCTGCGGCTAATTGGGAGGATTTTTTCCCAATATGGAAATTTAGGATCCATTAAAAGATCATCGGATGATTATTTTTTTTAAAGAAATGGATTTTGCGTTCTTAAACACCCATATCATACCCCTTAAAAAATTAGACGATTTTTGTTCAATTTTAGGGCATATTTCTCATGAAATACATAGATAGTTCAATCTTATTTCTATTTTTTTTTTTATTAATTTTTTTTTATTTTTTTTTTTGGAGGGGTTAGATCAGTGGGGAATACAGGCCCCTACCCATTTTTATAAATAATTAGCAATTTTTTAATACGTCAGTGGGAATAGAAACCTAGATAGGTAACTGAGGCTCAAGTTGTGCTACCACCGTGGCCTCAACCCCATTCCCATTATTTCTTTAAGGTTTTGCCTAGGTTCAAGACGTTGCATCCCAAAAATTTGGGGTCCAAAATATGTTGCTAACTTGTACTTCACCCGAATAAGCAGATCAACTTTTTACTTTTCTTATCCACGTTAACTTTATTTTTATAGGGATTGCATACAATGAAACTATTTATCTTTATTATTCATTGCATGTAAAATTGGATGGCTTGGGCTAGTCACTATTTTTTGAGAAAAAAAATTGTGAACTTTAAGTGTCTTTATTGACACTCTTACAACCACCCAATATGAAATCCAAGTGACGAAGTGATTGTGATCTACTTATACAAAAAGTAAATGCTCTCTTTATATGCTTTCCATTTTAATATGAAAATGGCTTTTACGCTTTACAAAAACAATATTGGCTTTACTTTAAGGGCTTAATACTTTAACCTGGGTATAAAACGGATCCTCAAGGCCATTAAAGACCTCAACTTTCTAGCCATGGAGGAGGCTACCCAAACTGGGAACACAGATGGTCTACTTGAATCATTGAAAGCTGATATGCACATACTAGAACATTACATGGAAACTACTCCTCTTCACACTGCCATTTCTCTTGGGAATGTTGAATTTGCCAAGGAAATCATAAAGCAAAGGCCATAACTTGCGAGAAAAGCAGATAAAAATGGGTCTTTTGCTCTTCACCTGGCTTCAAGAAATGGCCACTTTGAGATGGTTAGGGAGCTCCAAAGCATGGACATGAGTCTGGGTTTCCTTGTAGATAAACAAGGGATGACCCCCCTTCATGTTGCAACCATTGAAGGAAGAGTTGAAGTACTCAGAGAAATCCTGAATGTGAATCCTCAGTTCTTATGGATACTAACGAAAGAGGGGGAGACAGCTCTCCATCTCTGCACGAAGGCGAACTGCTTCAATGTTACGAGTTATTTGGTGGAGAATTACGATGTTGGTGCGATTTTGAACTTGCCCGACAAGGATGGGATCACTGTTTTCCATGTCGCCGCTGCAAGGAAACTGATTCAGGTAACAACTTTAGCTAATCAAGATTGGGTTGATCTAAACATTAAGATTAGTATATTGTTTGTTGGGATAGATTGATAAAAAAGTCTTTTTTTTTTTTTACTCAAGATACACACCCAACGAGCTATTAAAAAAACGACTCCCTGAAAATCAAAACTTAACCAACTCCTCTTTATTTCTTCTTCTCCTTCTTATGGTGATCCGCTCACTCCAAATAATTCAAGGCAATAACTTCACCTGCATCATCAATGATGTAGATCAAGAATGGGTTGATCCCAAAAATTATTTTAATTTTTGCTTTTAGAATTTTGAGTGTATTTTTTATATTATTATAGTCAATTTTTAGAAATAGGATTAGTATGGCTTTTGGAGGATAGTTTAATAAAAGAGTCAATTTTTTCCTCTTTAGCAAGTCAATCTTTTAAATCCTTTTGTTTAGAAAAGTAGGTTTTTTTTTTTAAGTTGTTTTTCTTTTTTTCGCTCCATAAAATTTTAAACTCGACAGGCTCTTAAAATAAAAAGACCCTCTAAAAAGAAAAAGACTTAACAAACTCATGTTTATTTCTTCTTCTTCATATCGCGATCTACTCGTTCTAAATAATCCAACATGATAACTTCGACTGCATCATCAATGATGTAGATTTAAGGATGCATTATCAAAAAAATTATTTCATTATTATTTTTAGAGTATGAGTGTTTTTTATTTATTTTTATTAGGATTAATTTTTAGAAATAAGATTAGTATGATTGTTTTAATAATAGTTTGATAAAAAAAAATTATTATTTTTCCTTTTCAGCAAGTCAATATATTCGGAACGTAAAGTCCTTCTCTTTGCTTTTTTTTCAGACAAGTAGTTTTTTATTTACTCTTTAAAAAACTTTTACTCTGATGAGCTCTTAAAAAAAAGGACTCTCTCAAAAGGCAAAAGGAAAAGAGTTGACAAACTCATCTCTATTTCTTCTTTCCTCGGATCGCGATCCACTTACTCCGAATGATCCAATACAATAACTTCGACCGCATCATCAATGATGCATATCAAGAATAGGTTAATCCAAAAATTTATTTTTATTTTTAGAGTTAGAAGTGTATTCTTCTTCTATTTTATTAAGATCAATTTTTAAAAATAGGATTAATATGTTTTTCTTCTTTTTTATATAGTTTCCTTTTTAGCAAGTCTATCTTTTAAGAAGATAAAGTCCTTTTCTTTTAGAGAAGTAGCCTTCTTATTTCTTTTTTTTTACTCTTTAAAAAGAATTAAACCTAGAAGGCTTTTAAAAAAAAAAAACTCTCTAAAAAGAAAAAGAAAAAGACTTGCCAAACTCATCTTTATTTCTTCTTCTTCCGATTGTTATATGGTCGCTCCCATTAATTTAACACGATGACTTTGACTGTATCACTTTCCTGTCAGTTTTCACTTGTGACGAATCAATCGGGAAGTTGATCAAGAAACACACTATTTAACATTTTATCCATTGGGAAAATGTTTTGTGAGTCAGCGGACGCACTAGCCCGCACAATCACAAACGTCCATCTTTAAGATGAAGTTCCCCAACTAAAGATTATTATCCAATGAATAGGAAAAAATCCTAATGAAAATGTTATAAAATTTTAGTTTTTTTTTAATTTTTATTTTTTTTATATTCATGATCATCATAGTAGAGGACATGAATCACTACAAATTTGGATCCAAGAGCAATACAAATAATGGGTGTTCAAGGGAGCCCATATGAAAACATTATGAATCGGGGGACTTATACAAACCGGTTCCTTCTCCACTTTTCAAACTTGTTTCAAAGATTCTCTTAGGACAATGTCACAACAGGTGAGTTACGGGTATAACCATATTTTTTTTATTTTTTATTTTTTATTTTTTTTTGGATAGTTCGAATAAAACTCAAAACATCATTTCGTAACGCGCTGGGACTCTAACCACCTATTGGAAATAAGTTCTTAAAAACAAAGGCATCACCATAGCCTATATGTTAATCAATTTTTTTAAAACTCATAGGTTCTAAAGTCAGGTTGTTTACAAACAAAATATGTATGAAACATACTATTTAAAGGCTCTTCCATCCTGATCTGTGCACAAACTAGTCAATCGAAATAGTTGGGTCTTGTCAAGTTCCAATCTACTAGGTGCGTCCTGTCAAATTCCAATCTACTAGGATTCAGCCTTTAAAGAGACTTTTTTTTCTCTCCTAAATTATTGGCAAACTTGTGCAAAACTGAAGAAACCTAAGAATAATTGGGAAAACATAGAGGCAAGTTTTCAAAGAAATTTTTTTTTTAAAAAAAGAATAAATAGTGATAGAAAATAATAGAAATAAACAAAAATATGGGAAATACTAATAGAGCAGGCCCGGAGCTCAGAATTGGGGCCCCCCATATAAAACAAAAGGGGGTTTGAGTCTTCACTTTTTCACCTTGGAGACTAGCTGAAATTGTCATATGCTCCCATGAGTGCCTAAGAATAATGTTCTAGGGTTTTAAGAGTCAGGAGCAATGTTCTTCTCCTTAGTATTTTCTCGGTTTTGCTGCGAGTCTGGGTTGATCTGGAAACTGGAGAGATCGCGTAAGGCTTCGTGCCCCTGAAAAACACTAGAAATGAGATATAAATAGGCAAAATACCTTCAAATCATGAGACTATGAAAGCCTCCCTACGCTACATTACATGCATGTCGCATCCCTAAATCCCTCATCCCCTGAAATCATATCATATGGGTGGGTGGGTAGATGGATCCTCATGGTGTGATCCGCTGTGATTTTCGGGTCTTTGACCAAATTTTGAAGAGTTTGCCCTCATTCCAGTTTTGATTTCCTATGAAATGTTTGATATTATCCTAAAGTTCGTTGTTAAGGGACATTTGGAAATATTTTGGGAGCATTCCTAGGGATGGACTAAGGTTTAGTGGTGTGAATTAATGTTTCTTGTGACCTACGGTTTATTATACTAGTGTGATCCCTAGGGTTCATGGTTGTAGGTTTCTAGTAATTCCCTACTGTTGCCCTCTTTGGTGCTCCTCTGTGGAGCAGGAGAGCGACAAAGAAAGTGAACATCTACAAAACTATAGTTTTTATAGAAAGAACAAATATTCTCTTGAATGCCTAACACTCATGCTTTATAGTGAGTGTGTGTTACTATTGCTTGGAAGTGATTGTCATTTTTAGACTCACAATGGTTACGTCAGCCATTAACTGCCAATGCTTCGAGGTTCACCAATTTCCACCACTTCAAGGCAAGGGTCAGCCATTTATCGATATTCTGAATTTTGATTTCCACCGCTTCCGGCCAATGAACAGCCATAATCGGTGGATTTTTTCATCCTTAATTGCCAAGGCAATGATCAGTCATTGCTTAATTTGCCGTATTGTATTGGTTCTCAATTGAAAGTAGGGGGGTACTTCATGATTTGGCACAAGGTTTTTTCTCTAGAGCTGTATAATAATGAGCAGTACTTTCTCTTATTATCAGTAAAAATCGGGTTGGGGGCTTCTCCCCACTGACATACCAAAAAGAAGAATTTAGAAAGGTGTATGGACAGAGAAATAAATATGGAAGAAAATTTTGGTTAAGTAAATTTTCGTCGCTCCCGAGTACAATTAAAGGGAAGGCTTTAACTTAGATGGTTCAGGAAAAGTCATGTTTCCTGGGCAATTTCTCTCCCCAATTTCTCGCTCAGGCCCTCCGTCAAATTCCAGATCGAGATTTCTTATCATGACAGGACATTTTTATTGCTTTTAGGGTCCAATTCTTTCAAAAAATTTTAATATTTTAAAGGTTTTGAAAGATGAGAAAGGGAAGAAAAGAGATTGGTCCCTGTTTTGAAAAAACAATTATAATAGGAAAAATATCTTTTTATTTTCTATTTTTAACTTCTTTATCTCATGATATTCAAATATTGAAGATATTATTTAAGCAAAAGGTCTTTATTTTTTTTATCTTACAACCCTTTGGATCTCTTTAAACATAAATTTTTGACCAAAACAAACATTAAAATGACACCTTATTCAAAGTTCATCTCTCACTCCAAAACTCCATGTCTCTCTTTTCGCTTCTCGGTGAGTTTACCAGCCAAGGGGTTTAGCTTGAGCTCAAACACGGGCACACCTTTTTATGTGTGAGAGAGAGATGGTATTTTAGAGAGAGAGAGAGATGGAGTTGGGGTTTTAGAGAGAGAGATGGAGTTTGAGTTTTAAAAGGAGAGATGGAGTTTTGAGAGATAGAGAGACCATGATGTGTGTGAGAGAGAGAGAGATGGAATTTGGGTTTTAGAGAGAGATGGAGTTTTAAAAAATAGAGATGATGAAGTGAGAGAGAGATGGAGTTTTAGAGAGAGAGACAGAGAGTAATTTCATAAGTTGTTGATGTCAATAATATATGGTCAAAAGAATTTAAGGGGTTGGAAGATAGAAAAAATGGAGTCTATCTGCTATCAAATAATATTTTCAATTATTGAGTTGGATGAGATATAGAAGTTAAAAATAAAAGATAATAAGATATTATCTCATTACAATATTATAAAACCGTAAATTTAGTACATCCAAATCAGGGTTGAGATGGTTTGGATGATGAGTATATAACTTTTTAACAGTCATAACAAATTCATGAAATATGAAGAATAAAGAAGGAAAGGTCATGACAAAAACAATTACCGGTAGGAAGATATAAAGGCAACAAAATAAACTCAAATAAAAAATAGAAAATAATTATTAAAAGCTATAATAAATATCAGAAATAAGTAAATCATGTTATTAATGACATAAAAAATTAGAAAAACATATTTAAGACATTTAAGTCAAAGAAAATATCATGAAAATTTAAAAAAAATAAAAATAAATAAATAGAATAACCAAATTATGATAAAAATAAAGTGAAAAAATGCATGTTAAAGTGTAAAAAAGAATCAATATTTTCTCAATTTATTTTTTTGGAAAAGTACATATTCTAAATTTCCACTGCATTGAAATATATTTTTTTTTGTTCTCTTTTGATGATTACGTTGCAAAGTGGGGAAAATGATCATATCTCCTCCCTTTCTAGATGGGTTAAGAGAGAGAAAGAGAGAGACAAGCGACATTCTTGATCATGGCGAGGGAGAGATTTTTTTTTTTTGTTTCTAGAGAGATAAACTTATTTGGGTATTTTTTTACAAATAAATCGAGCTGTCCGGCAATGAGAATACCAGACAGCATTGAAACCACTTAGGGAAAAAAAATCATGTCCCATATTTGTATTGCCGGACAATGGGGCAACATAGGAAAATAAAAAACACCACGGGGAATGATAGTCGTAATTTCGGGTAAATGACATCTATTTGGTAACTGACTCCCTCTAAAAGTGTTGTACGTAATTTGCTCTATTTTAAAAAATGAGTCAAAATTAAAGAAAAAATGAACCATTTAGATGTTGATTAGTAGATGACAATAGGTCTTAGCTAAGATAAGTCTTAATTTCAACCAAATCTAAATTATTTTGATTAAAAAAAAAAAGCAGAGTATTTTTTATCAAAAATGTAAAAAGTAACAAAAAATGAAATCCATAGAGAGCGAATGGAAAATGAGCCTATGTGTTGTTAGATCATGCCTAGGACTGTTACTACTAAAGACCTCAATAGTTCTGTGTATTAAAAACTCAAATCCAAGTGATCCGATCTTACGTAAAACCTAATTTTTGAACTTCGGATACTGTAAAATCATAGCTTCATTTCAATAAACAGGGTGAAGATGGTTTAGATATATAAAATCAGGGAAAGTTGGGTAATTTTCCAAAAGAGTTGTGGGTTGTAATTACGTAAAGGGAAAGTATAGAATGAGATCATTTACTTTTGATACAAGGCGGTAACATTAATCTTGACCATTGGATGTGAAATTGGGTAGCTGCAATTATTTCATTGATTACGTTCAAACTTCAAAAAAAAAATTTCGAACTTTATGACACATCCAAGCTATCAAATTTCACATCAAATGGTTATAAGAAATCGTGACCTCCTTATATGAAAGGTAAATGGTCTCATTGTATACAATCTTTTAGGTGAAAGGTCACCCAGTTCACTATAATAAACAGGGCCGATTTCTGCAAAACAAAGCCATCTAGTTGAGACCCACCCAAAATCAGCTATTGGCCTATTAGAGGTTAAAACAAAGGATTCTAATCTACCAGGGCAATTATTCGAATATTGGTATTTAGGAACACCTCTAATATGAGATTTTAGCATACTAGAGTATCAGCATCTCACTTAAAACACTATGGATATTTGTAATCTTGTGAACTGATATATCACAAAGTATGTATTTTCATTCACCAATAACTCACTACGATAACTCTTTTGAATATAAATATCGTACAGGTGTTAAGTTTTCATAAGATATTGCATATTGGTTTTTCAAAACACCAATATCTCATTCTAAACACCCTCACCTTGCTTGTGAAATATTTTACTTATTGCAACAAAGATCAAGACTTTTTATCCATCCTATTAATTTTCTCCTTTGTTTTGGTTATACAGTTCATAAATCTTTTCGTGATCTCAACTGGAACTCGATTGAATTGTTTGAACTCGAAAGGGTTAACCGCATTGGACATCATAGAGCAAGATCTAGGTACCATGGAACAAGATCCAAGCGATACAAATGGCAAGGAAATCCGACAATTACTCATTTGTGCTGGAGCTAAAAGAAGTAATGAATTGTCTATCATGGCAATGCCATCCTCAAGAAATGGTGGATCGATAGCTCCGGCATCATCACTGCCAAAGAGGTCCCAATCCTTACAAGAAGAAAAAAGGCAGAAGAAAGAAAATGGGCAACATCACAAAAGAGGGAAGAAGAGTGGTTGAGCCAACGATTCTACACCATCGTGTTGGTCGCGGTGTTAATCGCCACCGTCACATTCCAAGCATTGATTACTCCTCCTGGAAACAATGAGAAAGCCAAGGATACATCGAATGCATCTCAAAATTCTCCCATGAGCAATGACCCAGGCTATAATTGGGAGAAAACGTTCAGTAACTGGAATTATCATGGATTCATGTTATGTGATACGGTGGGGCTCATGTCATCGTTATTCATCATCTTGCTGATAATGAGTGTGCAACCAGATAAACTCCAGATATTAATGCGAGTGTTGAAGGTCATAATGTGGGTCTCTGTCTACTTCACAGCCAATGCTGCCTTCTTTGCCTTGTTGCTTTCTAGAGACAATGACAAATTTGTTGATGAAATATTCTAACTTGTTGTTATGATCTTTACAGCAATCAATGGTGTCGCTTTAACAGTGTTGTTCGTGAAGTTCACCATGAAGCTGTGGAGGAAGGGTCGATCAATGTTGAGGGTCATGGTGGTCCTCCTTTGGACTGCTGTCTACCTACCAGTCTCCACCATCCTATATTTCTATTTTATGTTCTTGCCCATTTTGCATGAACGGCCTCCGTTACGAGCGATCGTTACTGATACAGTAATCGGTAAAGTTTTCTTTTTTATACTGATTGCCAACATAGGACTTGTTCTGCTAGTTTGGTTTGTGTATTTGATCTTCCCTATTATGAAAAAAGCCCGATCCAAAACTCAAACGAAAGAGAACGAGGAGAATTGTGGCTGTTAAAGCAGGGGACAACAACCAGATGTTGATCTTGAGTTCGCAAAGAAAGATATGAGTGAAGATTGATGTAAAATTTTAGGAAGATGGAGTCACGTGAAGGCCTTGCATTATATTTGTAGTTATGGGTTTGTGGTTATAGTTATCCTAAGTGGTTATTTAAGTAACAACGTGGGTTTGTAAACTGATTGAAAGGCCCATAAATATGCGAGTTAATGGAATGAATGTTTAATCTCACTCTAATATTTATATATGTGTATTTTATATTAGTTATGTGCAGTTTTTCCTTGAGTTTTTGCATCGTAGCAGTAGATATGAATTAAAAAAACAAAAAAAAACAAAATTTTCGTATGAAAGCGAACGGTTTGATTATCATGGCAATATTAAAAAAAAAAAAAATTCAATAAAAATAAAAAGAGGCACAATTATGAAGTCATATGGGTATTTTAGAAAAGAAAATGTTTTAGTCTTGATTAAATTAATGCAAAGAGATTTTATAATAAGAAAAAAAAAAAAAAGGGTCTTCAATATAGTGGTCTTTATAAAAATAAATAAAGAAAAATAAGAAAGCAAAAAGGAAGCATTTTGGTGTTTTGCAAAAATTTTCAAATTTTAGGGACATGAATAGTTTCTCGAGTAAAAATCCATGTCAAGTCTAGACATAAAAAAAATATTTTTTTTGAAAAAAAATTTTGTAGTCTTAATATGTCATGTTATGGAAAGGCATGAAAATGCCAAGTAAATCATCATCATCATAGCTTTTTTTCAATTAATTTGAATCAACTATATGAATCATGATCCGTTATTCTGCTCTATAAAAGGTCATACACTCAGTGAGGCCATAAGTCCTCACATCTTTCTGAACTACTTTCGACCACATCCTTTTTGGTTTACCCCTTGCCTTGTGAAGTCCCTCCACTTGAACTAACTTGCACTTTCTAATAGTTAATGTATTTAGTCAGCACCACACATGACCAACCAATCTAAGTCTACTATCTCTTTTAACTTATCACCTATTGGTGTCCCACTGAATAATCTTAAATGGATTCATTTCGAATTATATCCTTTCTTGCTTTGCCATTCATTCACCACTCATCTATCTCAACATCTTCATCTCTGCTACACTCATTCTAAAGAGCGCATAAAAAACTTTGAAGCCAAATTGTTTGTACTAAAAAAAAAATTAAAACCTTAACAATATGATTGAAAATTTTATACGGGCAAATCAATAAGAAAGAGATTTTGCATCAAGCATGAGTATTGAAGATTGAAGCAAAAATTTAGGAGAATGGAGTCACGTGAAAGCCTTGTAAATATAGCCTATTTTATCTCTAAGTGGACTTGTGTTGGTAGTTATGAGTTTATAGTTGTAGTTTTTCTTTTACATTAGTTTATAGTTGTAATTATATTACTTGGTGGTTATTCAACTGAGAGTCACGCAACAATGTAGTTTTGCTAACTGATTGAAAGGCCCATGAATGGTCAAGCTAATGGAATAAGTGTGTAACGTTTGAGTTGGTTTTTATTTATCTAAGCTTGTGTTTGCGAATGAGTACAAGTGAGGTAATTTAGGACTGCTATGGCCTTTGGGACATAGCATTATCACTCTAATATTTAACCACAGTGATGTATTTTCAAAACAAAAAACCCAACATTTTGGTATTAGAGCGGATGGTTTAGTTATTTTGGGAATACATTTAAAAAGCGAGCACGTATCCTCACACCTTCTGATGGCATGATACCAGGACTACAGTCTTATTCAAAAAACATTTTTCTATGCCTTAACTAGTCACACTCATTCTTGTTCATGACATGATACTTTAGGACTACAATCTTTTTTCTTTTTCGAAAATCATTTTTACTATACATTTACTTGGCATCTTCATGTTCTTTCATGAAATGATATACTAGGTCTACCCTATTTTTTTTTTCTCATTTATTTTCTATGCTTGAAGCAGGCATATATTACCCATGAAAATTACTTTTGTGCCCCTTCATAATTTCCTTTTTCTTTTCTCTTTTTTCTAAAATCTCATTTTTTAAAAGTTGTTTTTAAAAACAATTAAAAAGAAAACTAATTGTTGTAATTTTTTTTTTGTAGAAAAAACATTAAAAACATACGGCCAATTCCACTCCAAATAACAATCTCTCTATAAATTTTACCAAAAGCAAAAGATTTAACCACCTATTTACAAAATTATCAATGAGGGACCTGGCCATAATCCTACTTTTACAAACTTATCAATGTGGGACTTTGGTCATAGTCTATTTTTGTTTGGTCATAGTCTATTTTTGTTTATGAGCTAGAAGTTGAAGCTAGAAATTGGAGGAAGAGAATCTTCATGATAGAATCTTCTGAATTTCTCATGGAAATTGAAGTTGAAGAAAAAATTATGAAAACCGTAAGAGAATAACAAGTTTCTCAAATGTAGGGTTCATCGAAAATCTTAAAACCACAAAAAGAAAACGAAAACATTAACAATATTATTGAAAATTTTGTATGGGAAATTCAAAAATAAAGAGATTTTGCATGATTGAAGATGAATGCAAAATTGAAGTGTTGAAGATGAATGCAAAATTGATTAAGTCATGTGAAGCCTTGTTGTAAATATCTCCTATTTTCTCTCCAAGTGGAGGACTTTATATTGGTAGTTATGAGTTTGTAGTTATTGTTATCTTAGTGGGTGGTTATTCAAGTGAGAGTCACCTAACAAGATAGTTTGGTAAAGTAATTGAAAGGCCCGTAACTTGGCAAGTTAATAGAATTAGTGTGTAACCTTTGAGTTTTTAAACAAGTACAAGTGAGATAATTTAGGTGAACGGTTATGAGATTTGGGTCACAGCATCCTCCCTTTAATATTTATTTTTGTGTATTTATATTATTTGTGCAGCTGAGTTTACTAAAGTTGATAGTGTTTTTACCTTGTAGCAGCAGCTAAAAAAAAAAAACCAACATTTTGATATCCGACCAGATGGTTTGATTTTCCTGGGAATATTTACAAAAAAAAAAAAAAGGGTACAATTGAGAAGTCGTCGATATCATAGAGCATAGGCCTTACATAGAATTTTTCCGTACTTCAAGGATCTGGTTAGCACAAAGCCTAGACTTTACATTCACCTTAAAACCCTGCCAAAATCTGTAGTTTTGGCCCTAGCTTATGATGGCTTCTATTCCACCTTTAACTATAAAATTTGGAGCTCACAAAATGGTGCAAAACTAGCTCACGATGCCTAAGCCACACAACTAAGAAACTCAAATCAGAAATTCAGAATTAACTAAAAAGATTAAAGTACTACAAAATGTGTCGCCATAGCTTTATTAAGCCAGCTAAAAATATGTACATATAGCCTTATTAAGAAGCCAACATAAGAGGGGCACAAAGTGCCTTTCTCCCTGACATGTCTGCTCAACACTAAGCAGACTTATGAAGCACAGTAAACAGTCAGAGACATTGATTTCCATAGATTAAATTTATTGTGCCTATAACCTTAAAATCTGTTCGATTTCATCTGCACGTGAACTTTTTGACTAGTTGATCCTCCAATTGCATCCTCTTCTTCATCATAAAGGTGTACTTAGAAACAATGTCTTTATCACCAGCGCCAGTCAAGAGCCTGAGGTTTAGAGAAGATTTCTCTAACTTATTTTCATAAAGGCATGAGAATGGCACGAAGGAGCCCTGCTTCTTGCACAGCCAACCATGAGCAGCCCTCAAGGCAGCACCAAGCGAGGCTGAGTCTGTAAACGTGCAAAGTGATAAATGGTTGATGTTAGTGAAAATGGAAGGTGGTGTGCTATTACATAGATAAAGATGCCATCCAACAGAAAACATGGAAGAGAACATAGACAAAGATGCCATCGAACAGACTTGCAGCTTCATATCTCAATCTCGCACAAATTACAGTTAGACTAAAATCAGGGATCGAAAACTTGTCATCTGAAATGGAAATGGCTTGCCCGAATCATTCTGGACTTTGATGAGAGTAGTAAGAGTTGGTTACCTAACTCTTCCTGTTATGTAAGTCAAAGCTCATTGGTTTTTTGAGTTCAATGATTCTAATCAAACAGGTGGTAAACAAAGTCGACCCTTGATTTTACCAGATAACAATACTTCAGAAATTGTGTGACTGAATAGAATTAAGCAGCCAGACTGTTATAACATGCTCCACAAGAGATTCAGGAAACAGTTTAGAAAGTGGATTCATACAAAGTTTGGAGTAAGATTTTGATGGCGGTTCAAGAAATTATTCAAAACAGGCATGACCCACAGTCAATGCTAACTTTAAAATCCTAAAATTCATTAACCCTAACTTTAAAATCCTAAATTTTAAAACAAGGGAAAGTAGAGTATGATCCATACAATCATGGTGGGTTATCATTGTCCACTAGGATCATACAGAGAGAGGGAGAGCAAGATGTGCAGCAGACTTAATTCCATGCTTCGTGGAACACATCAACCTTTCATAACAGTCTGACTATAACGGACGGTCATGACCCTTATGACCATACTGTTACCATAATCACATACGTCATGCTAATAACAAAACAGATTTGCAAGCAAAAATCTAGGTTCAAAAACAAATGGGCAAAACATACAGAAAAGGGCAAAACATAGACCCCTTAACTTTAGTAATGCATGCATGTTAACATGCAAAACCAAAACAACAGTGAAATCACTGTAAAGCACCGTGACAAAAAATTCACAGTAAGAGCATTCAACCCCATGTAGTATCGAACTCCAGAATTACGGAGTAAACATGACAAACATGCAGAAATATATTCAACAGTTTCTCTTTTAATAAATAATAGATATACATAGAATTTACGCACCAGGTCTTTCGACTGTATAAATAGCACATCCAAAAATGGAAGCTATTGAGTTGAGAATGCATTTATTTGCGGATGCTCCACCAGTTGCAATTATCCGATTTGGAGGTGTTGGCATTCCAAACCTCTCTGTGTGAGCTCGCATTGACAGAAATTGGCCTTCAATTATTGCCCGTACCTTCAGCCCAAGTATGAAATATACCTCATTAAACATTATGGTCAGAATGAACTAAATAATGCTACCCTTATGGTAAAAATAAATTTAAAACATGTTATTGGCAAAAACCGATTAACCTCTGAAGGAGCATCGAATTCCTCTACTTCACGCTCCTTGGACTCATCCGCAGATCCGGCCTCAATATTTTCAATAACATAGCGATGGATTCCAACTTCACATAATCAATAAACAAAAATTACAAAATGCAATTCTTTCAAGCTTCATGTTTCAACTAAATCTGTCGCAAATATGATTTGTCAAAGCCCCTAAAAGAGTCACAAAACCAGGCTATGAATTCAAATCTATTCACCTGGGAGTGGAGGCAGAATTTCATGCTCCTTGAAGAAGAACCCTAACTTTCCACCTGTTCATGTAACAGGAAAAATTAATCCCTGTAAACATCATACACCCAAGAAAGCAAACAAATAAATACAGTAAACAAGAGAAATAGAGGCATCATTGTATCAATCAAAATGGAGGCATCATTGTATCAATCCACACAAATATTGATGATGTGAAAATTCAGGAAAAAAAGAAAAGAAAAAAAAAGCTACTGGTGAATATATTAGGCCATAAAATATATGCTGAAACTCAGTCGACATAAGGAAACGCATACCATTTAGTGGAGCAGTCTGCTCCAAGTACTTGTTGAAAGTATCCCATGAGCTATTAGCACAACGATTGCGTACATCTGCAATTCACTAACTACTGTCTCACTAAAAATTCATTAAAAAAATGAAAAATAACATACTTTCAGAAATTAGTTGCCACACATCCCATTAAATCCTTACCTTCCCTTGTTAGAGAACCATTCTTGTAGACGAGCATCACCATGTAGCACCCTGGATCAACAGGGTTAGGTAAAACATGCCCTTCTAGGCCGGGTCGTAGCTCCTTGGTAATTCCAAAAGCCTGACAAAAGAGTTTCAGTTTTATTTAATGAAATGCCAATAAAATACAAAAGCTGATCCCATAATCATAAGAATTTGTCTATGTCAATGGAAGTCCTCGAACACGCAAATAAAATGCATTTTCCACATACAGTATCGCTGGTGCCTAAACTGATTGCAAGATCTCCAGGACTATTCAAGGTCAAACCTGTAAATGTTCCACAAAATCTTAAATCATGATCATTGAACTGTGTACATGGGTGTTTTGGAGTGGCAATAATTATATAATCATTTCGATTTTCTTTCTTTGACAAAAAGTTATCCGCTTTAACATCTAAACAAATCTCCAGGTTGCTGAAAACAACAATCGTTGATAAAAGAAACATCAGAGACAAGATTAATTTACCGATTATTCTTCCACCAACATTATCCAGGTTCAAAGTGAATCCAATCCATAAAAGAAATAATGTAAGAACAACAAGCTATTAATGGTGGAAACCTGCCCCAGGTGATATTTTATGACAAGAATGGAAAATATTTGTCGATTCACAACAGTCCTCTCTCTCTCTCTCTCTCTCTCTCTCTCTCTCTCTACTCTCACCTACTACCACACCACAACACACACACTACTACTATACTACTAATACTATATATATAGTAGTAATAGTAAGTAAGTAAGTAAGTTAAGTA